GGGGGGGGGGGGGGGCGCACGGCAAGGGGGATCAAACGCGCCCTCAAGAGCGCAACGCTCCATGCCGCTACACATAGGCACAGCAGGCGGCGCGCCAGCGGGCAGGGCTTGCAGGCGCCTGGCCCAACAACCATGCAAAGTCTTTGACAGCCGCGCCTGCCACCCCCCTCCCCCCAAAACACACACACACACGCGCGCGCGCACGCACGCACGCACGCGCGCACACACACATAGGCGCGTGCAGACACAAGCGCAAACACACACGCACACACATACATCTCTGGGCCTGCTTGCAGACCGAGTGGTTGAGGGGCCGCGTGGCAGGTCTACTGGCAGCATTTGGGCCCGGGGCCGAGGCCGAGGTTGCAGCGGCTGTGTACAACGGTGCGTCACCCCGGAAGCTATTGCTGCACGAAGGGCTTTGGGGTCGCGGCACACCAGCGCCCTTCTGAAGCGTGTCGCAGCGGCGGCCACGCTGTTTGCCCTGCCCGTCACGGCGATGAGGCAGCAAGCCATCTGCTGCCGGGCCCACGGCAGCCTTTGTCTTCCCGCACCGTGATGCCCCTACCACCCACCAAGGCGGCCTGGATATCCTGGACGCAGAGGCAGCCACTTTTCCACAGCAGCTGGTGGCCCTGAAGGAGGTCCTGGCTGGTAAGAGGGGTTTGCGCACTTGCTGCTCACAGACGGATGGAGGGACGGCCGGGAGGGGGGTGGTGTGTGCTGCCCAGGACGACCAAAAGCGTGACTCCCACGATGTTGCGCTTGCAGCCTCTCAGGCGCTCGCGCCTGACCGCACCATTGCGATTCCGTCAGCTGGGCGTGGCCCCCGTCCGTCCAAGCGGCGACCTGCTTGTGTGCCACGTGGGGCCTTACGCCTCGGCACCGCCTGCAGGTAGGGGTCAGCAACATCCCCATTCAAACCCCTGTCCCATGCACATGCTCAATTCATTTCTCCCTGCCCGCCGCTGCACCCGGCCCCTGTCCACAAGGTGTCAACGTGCTGGACATTGTGTCGCGGGAGCCGCGGCTGTTGTACACACAGAATGTCGCCGCAACCTCCAAAAAGGCACGCAGCCCAGAGCGATGTGCGTATTGCCCTGCCCGCCGTGCACATCGATGCCGCCCACCATGATGTCTCCCTGCCAATGGACGCACACTAAACGCTGTGTTGCCCATGATGCTTGGCGACGACCCAGCGTGCGTCAACCATACCACCAGCCTCCGCGCCCAATGCACGTGGGCTTACCGCCCCACCGCAGCGCGATCGCCCTGACCCACCCCTGCCCCGCCACCCGGCCACCGTCCAGGTAATCTCCAAGCTGACCGCGCTGTACCCCTACAAGAGCCCCAACAAGAAGCAGGACGTCGTGAGGCTGGTGGCTGAGTACCCCGAGCTGCTGGTCAGGATGGCGCACTATGCTGACGACAGATGCATCAAAACGGTGGGCCTGGCACAAGGATGAGAGGACCTGGTGTGCGTGTGCGTGCATGCATGCGTGCGTGCGTGCGTGCGTGCGTGCGTGCGTGCGTGTGTATCCATGTGTTGGTGTGTGTGTGTGTGTGTGTGTGTGTGTGTGTGCGCGCGCGCGCGCATTGCAATTGTCGCATGATGTTCAAGTGATGTGTTGCATTTCAAAGGGGGGAGGGGGCAGGGGGCCAAGTGTGAGTCCATGGGTGGGCAGAGTCGGGGCAGGTCCCGGGGCCCAGCTGTGCTGACAAGGCGCCGCCCTCCACACAACGGGCGGTCGATCCGCTCGCTCTTCCAATACACTTTTCCCTCACCTCAGGTGCAGGACTTGCCCGTCGACCTGCAGAACCGCATCCTCAAGAGCTACTGCTGAGCTGGCACATAGAATCTGCCCACCTGCACTGAAGACTGCTTGCTGCTCTGCGTCCTGTGTAGTACTGCCCTGGCCGAACCAACCATGGGGGACGTGCTTCCAATCAGAGCTGCGGTTGTTGTGGGTAACGGCACGCTCAATGCGTGCTGCTACCTTTTGAGAGCCCAACACAAGCGCGACTTTCACATGCAACTGCAACCAGCCCCGTCCCCTTCTATTACGGCAGTGCACATCCGCTGCAGGTAACACACCTCATCACCCCGACTTCATTTCTCACATGCAGACGCATCGCGCCCGCCCCACGCGCTCCTGTAACACGAAGTTGTCAACCAAAACCAGAAGATGACTAACATCGGTGTTTACAGGGCAGTGCCAGGATGGACAGTCAAATTGCGAATCAAACAAAGCACGCCTGCCCGCTCCCCTGACGCCGAGGGCGCAGAGGGCATGGCGGGACTATGTGCAGGGCCGCCCTGACTGAACCACCACAGCCACACTGCATGGCGACAACGGCAGCAAGGCAAGATCAAACAACGCCGGCTGGGGGGCAGCTGCCAGCCAACGGGACAGTTGCTAAAGAGGAGATTCCTTTTGCAAAGGGTCATGCCACAGAAATCAGATTGCAGGGCCACACACTTCATTAGTCGGCCTGGAACGCCCCGCGAAAATGGCGAGGCAGCCGTACACGAGCGGCCCCGCGACCCACGTTTCCCGCTGGGGTCCTGCAGGAGCCGCTGAGCAGATATCACGCCGTGACAAGACCTCCAGCCAGCAGGGGTAGGGGGTGAATCAGGGGACAGCAATGCTCCCCTCATCTTGAGACGCGCACCTTGTATTGCAGACCTCTGGCCTCATCTGACAGGCAGATCGCCACGCGGCAGCGCACGCGGCTCACACCGCGGCTTGAGCCCTGCTGATGATGGCCGGCCACCAGGGGCCTGTTGTTGGCAGAACGACGGGGGACGCTGCGGCAGCCAGCGCCTCCTCGCACAGCCCTTGTAGAACAGCGAGCTGCTCAGACTGAGGGGGCAGGGCCCTTGGCGGCGTCAGCAAACCCGACACGGCTCTGGCCGTAGTCAAAGACGGTGTGGTATGCACCCATGAACACGTCACCTGGGGGTAAGTGGGGTGGCGGTGGGGGTGCACGCGTGGGAAGAGACCCGAGGTGTGAAGGGTGCCGTGCCACGCCTTTTCAGGCGTGGTGCCAGGTGCGTGCAAAGGCTGGGCCATCTCGCAACCACAGCCACGCACTGCTGCATATGCGCGTCAACAACGCGACATGCGTGAGCCAGCAGCGCAGCTGGCTCGAGGACCACCGCACAGCAGGCACGCTTTGGGTCCGTCTTCATGGCCCCTGGAGGGGCGCTCGCCCCCCGGGCCCTGCATAGCCCCCCCCCTTGCCCCAGGCCTCACCCAGGATCCAGAGTGGCCCGACAGGCACATCCAGGCCCAGGAAGCCCGACACACACTGGGAGTCACCACCTTTGGAGAAGAGGAGGGGGGGGTTTAGGGGGGGAGGATCGGGGGCCAGCAACACGGAGCGGGCAGCAGTAGGGGCCGGTGTGGCTGCATGGTGGGGAACCGTGTGCATGACCCTTTTGCTGGCTGGCGTGGCCGGCCCTGCACTTGAAACCTCCATCACCACACAAGCTCCCAACGTGCCTGCAGCCCCCCCTCCGCCCACGCCCCCCCCCCCAAACACCCACGCCTCACCCGCGTCGATCTTGAGGACGTACTGCTCCGGCCCCAGCACAAAGTCGCGCCCCCCAACAGTGAAGGTGATGGGCGGCATCCTGGCCACCTT